TATATATGTGTGTGTGTGTGTGTGTGTCCTTATATATATATATATATCTATATCTATGTCTGTGTCTGTGTATGTGTCTATGTCTGTGTGTTTGTTTCTGTGTCTGTATATATATGTGTGTGTGTGTGTATGTGTGTGCGCGTGCATATTTATGCATGACACAGCTATGTATATATGTACCAATGTATAAGTGTGTGTGTGTTTGTGTCTGTGTGTGTGTCTGTGTGTATGGATGTATATGAATATGTGAATGAGTGTGTAATTGTGTACGTGCGTGCAATTATACATAAATCTGTCTCTCTCTCTCTCTATATATATATGTATATATATAAATCAATATATCGCTGTATATATATGTGTGTGCGAGTATATATATATATAGTGTGTTTGTGTGTGTGTGTGTGAGTATATTTATATAGTGTTTGTGTGCGTGTGCGTGTGCGTGCATATGTATTTATGACAGCTATGTATGTATGTACCTATGTAAAAGTATGTGTGTGTCTGTGTTATGTGTGTGTGTCTGTATATGTATGTATATGAATATGTGAATGAGTTTGTGTTTGTGTATGTGCGTGTATGTATGTATGTATATGAATATGTGAATGGGTGTGTGTTTGTGTATGTGCGTGCAGTTATTCATAAATATGTATCTATATATATACATATACATGTAAGGATATATATATATGTATATATTTATATGTATATATATATATCGATATATCGATATATCACTGTATATATATATTTGTGAGTGAGAGAGAGTATATATATATATTTATATTTATATATATATATATATATATATTTATATATATGAATATGTATATGTGTGTGTATATATATATATCTCTCTATATATATATATATATAAATGTATATGTTTGTAAATACATAATATATATTAAATTATATATATATATATATATATATAAATGTGTATGTTTGTAAAAACATAATATATTAAATTATATATATATGTGTGTGTGTGTGTGTGTGTGTATGTTTGTAAATACATAATACATTAAATTTTATATATATATATATATTTAAATGTGTATGTTTGTAAATACATAATATATTACATTTTATATATATATATATATTGATATATATTGATATGTATATATTTATTGTATTTTATTTATATTATACATCAAATATATCTGATATATAGTATACATACATACTTTTATAAATATATATATATATATATATATATGTACGAATGTATGTATGTATGTATATGTATATTATATATATATGTGTGTGTGTGTGAGTGGGTGGGTGGATGGGCGTGTATGCATTTATGTATGTATAATATATATTTGTTCATGTATATTGTTACACATCATATACTTTTATGTGTTTGACAAGATATGAATGAACATTGTATATCTTCATTTCATTGAGAATCTGTTCTGTCAAATCTGATAATCCGTTGCCCGAGAAATCATTTTTCAATAAGCGTTAATTTTCTGTTGAAGAATCAGTCAGCCCAGAATAAACATAGATATAGTCCTCGACTAGTAGTATATGTACCTCTCCTGACATCAATATATACCGCTTTATACCAATTATGATGCGAGGCATGTGTAGTATATGTAGAAATATATCTATATAGGTATATGTATACATATATATATATATATGTGGAACTATAGTACAATAGAGTGCTCACGCTGTTTGTTTCTGCGACATAAAATGTATACAGGACGTAAAAGTACCTGCGTAGATGCACAAATACGGTAACAACATGCTAGATTTACTCTTATAAACCGGGCTGGGTTATACATTTTTTAAATAGATTTCTGATCGGATGAAGATAAAGATGACAATGGAGAATAGCAGAAGCCCTCGCGAAGGAGAATGCGTAGATCCGGAAACAGCTTCTATCAAGGAGTCCACTACACTCATAATTAGGTTTATTCGCCAGCAAACATAATGAATAGAGATCGAGCCGCCGCCTCCAGCTAAGTTACGTAAATTAAGAGCAGCGGAATGGTTGTGAAGCGCAATGTACAAAATGTATATTTAAGTATGGGGAACACAGATTGCTATCGACTCCATCCTCACCAATCCAAAGTGTCAGGAGGAGGAGATCCTGATAAGCCAAAAGTGTACTTTCGATTCAGTGCTATGCAAATCAATGCATATAGTGTGGTGTACATACTTCTACTATAGAACAGATCTGTAGCAAATATTGGAACCGGAACGTTTTATGAAGTTTAAATATGAAACGTTTTAGATGAAGTTCAAACTTGCCAAGTCTGATTCATATCTGTATAGACAAATATATTAGGGTTTTGCTTTACATATGCTAGCAGTATATGCTAGATATGAGGATGACAGAAAAAAAATGCCAATCTAAGGGCATTCCGCGTCGATTTCACTGTGAAATTGAAACGAATGACAATAAATTTGTCAGGTGTATCCCTGGACGAGGTTGTCGAGAGTGGCAGCCCACCCCAAGAAGCATTCAATCGATTAGTTTTAAGCTATTCCTATTGGACATGAGGCATGGCACCTACTGTCTGGCACACTATACCACTAAATCGAAAAGCTAGAAGTTAGTATCACATTGTGACAACTGACGCCGCTTCCAAACAGCACGATCTTGTTTTGACTCTGCTTCAATTATTGAAGAGATTATAGACTACAATCTATCTAACCCCCAATTCAGGTTGATACTGAAATAGAGAGATTGGGTAGTAAAACATGCAAGAACTGACACGTTTAACTACATCCACAGCAACTATACCGACTCCAGAATCTCACTGAGCAACGTACACGTTTCCAAGCAAACTGAATGATGTTTCATCAGTGGTAACAGTAGTAAAAATGAAAACCTGGACCCAATTTTATACGCTCACAGTTGGATGCCCTATATACATCCAGCGCTGAAGTACAGTGTACATCGACGGCGAGTACTTCGGTTTGCCATTGCAGAATATCTCGGCACAATTTAAACTACACCCAAAGTGTGTCGGATGTAGTCACAGCTGGTTGAACAATAAAAGCCTGTGCACGTGAAGTGAGTACACCAGTGCTCGTACTAGTAAGTATTATTTATTATCCTACTCAAAAAATATTATCTGTATCCTTCTACCATTGAGTACTCCCCTTAGATGCACCAGTACTGCTGCCTCCAAGTACCTGTGTAGCCCCCTTGTGTCCCGTTCCATACCCGGGCCCGTCAAGCCACGGCCACACACTTGTCCGCTTGCTTTCGAACTCAGAGATCTGGTCACCCTTCTGCATAGTTAGTCCGATGTCATCTAAGCCATTGATGAGACAATGCTTGCGGAACGGGTCCACCTACAGGGTAGTCATAAGAGTTTCCAACGTGAGCACTAGGATGTACCCATTCTGTACGTTAGCCGTGAATGAATCTATTGCGATCGATAGCACATGGCACCACGATGTAGGATACACCCTGCATTGCCGGCACTGAGGAACGGTTAGATAATAGCGCATGTGTGTGGAGCAAGCAGTAAGGCAACTAGTGAAGATAGGGTGACACACGAAATGAAGTGCTCAGACGCGAGGTGAATTTCCGTCTGAACGAAGCTCGAATAATGGAACGAGCCTGATCTGACTTGTACAGCTACAATTAGCAATAACTGTATAGGCACAATACACATTTATAAAGTGTGAAAGACGGTAAACATACCTCAAATTTGATTGTCTCTCCGTCGTGTCGGGTGATAGACTGGTTGGGAAGGTCGATGGTAACGTTCCTGAGATTCTCGCCGTCGTCCATGATCTTCGACACACTCTCCTTAGGCAGCACAACGGGAAGCATACCGTTCTTGAAACAGTTATTGTTAAAGATCTCAGCGAATGAGGGGCCAATTAAAGCCCGTATACCACAGTCTCCCAGTGCTGCATTGTAGTAGACAGGTGGGAGAGTCGGTGAGAATTTAAAAAGAAGGCGCCTCCTAGGGCACGTGAATCTAGCGAATAAGGCTGCACATTCAGAGCGTAAAGCAAATTATAGGCAATATTCTTAGTCTAGGCTTTCTACGCATGTCATCGAAATCTCGAAATCACCAGCATACGGTTTGATTGAACAAACTTTGAGGAAGGTGGTGTGCGGGCTCCCAGGATAATAGAGAGGCGACGATACCAAAAAGGATTACTGATAATCAGTAAAGGTGAATATCTAAATTTATGACGAAATAACCAGTTAACCTAAGTGGATACCTTGGAGTGCTCTCGCATCTCCTCCACACCCGATGCCAATTCGTTGTTTATATTTTAAGCACATCTAGGAGATAAACTGAAACCCGCACATACCCCAAGGGGCGTGCTCTCGACTGGAACCACAGCCAAAGTTCTCTCCGCACACCAGGATCTGGCTCTTCTTGTATTCTGGTTTGTTGAGTACAAACGAAGGCCTTTCAGACCCATCATCTTCATATCGCAGTGTGTGGAATGCCGCTGTGCCCAAGCCGGTCTTTTTAATCGTTTTAAGAAACTGTGGAGTACGGATATCAATTAAGTCTTTGTGATTAGGAGATATTAACGTGCGATCTGATATGATCTGAAACTACCGAGTACATTTAGAACTCCAACCCGCATAAACAATCGCTGGTTTAGCGTATATGTTTTAGAGTTAGTATGCGCCAACTCAAGAGTCACGTTCGCATACATACATCACACTAACCTGTTTGGGAATGATCATATCCGTGTCTACATTGTGAATGGGAAGTGGAGCGCAGAGTCCGTCCAGTACAGTGAACTTGGGAATGCCATCACTAGCCTCAGATGTGGCACTCTCAGTCCGCGTGGTGGACGCAAACTTGACCTTCAAAGCCGTTTCTACATCTTCTTCGGGACTCGTCTCCACAGCAATGTTCTGGCGGGGCCCCGGGTTGAGGATAGCTGTGCCATAATACGAGTGGCAATGTGTATGTGTGATAACAGGTAAGCGAGTGCCATTGTATACGTGTCAGTAGTACACGATGATATCAAGACCAAGATTTTTTTTCGGTGTTCACTAACCAGCCAGACGAAACCTGCAGCTAGTGCAGAATACAGAATTGTATTGTTTCGATCCGCAGATAAGCGACACCAGGATACTGTAAATGTTTTCTAAAATATACAAATATGTCTTGTACAAAAAGGGTAAACTCGACACCCACTAAAGGCCGCAAACCTCGGCACAGAGCACTTGAAGGGTATCCAGGTACGTGGAAGGTATTTACGCTTTTCTACACAATATGTCCGTTCTGGACAGCGTCTGCAGGTCGCTATGGCATAAACCACACCACTAGTGTGGGTAATCCGCAATATAAGGATCGCTACTCACGACAGACACAACTTCCAGCTACCTACGAGATGAATCCTAGCTCGTAAAACATCGCACGAATAGCCATGTTATCAGCCCAGCTAGCACATATACCAAGACGATAATATTGCATAATGGTACATACCATTATCAATCGAAAGCTCCCTCACATCTGTTAGGAAGCCAGTCACAGCAGCAGCAGCCGCCATAGCTGGACTGACCAGATGCGTGCGACCACCAGCACCCTGGCGGCCTTCGAAATTTCGGTTAGATGTCGATGCACACCGTTCTTGTGGACTTAATTGATCAGGGTTCATACCTGGTTTCAAAGGGGCGACAAGATGCTTACAAGTCAATACAAAAAGCAGTCAACAAATCCTGAATGGATTTACAGTAGCAATTTCACATTCACTGTAGCGAAAGGAGACAAGAACAGAAACCCCCCCCCCCCAAAGGTCAGTCATATCAAAGTATAATAGGACTGCGAGCATTATTCCGCTTCCGATTTCAAACACAACACCAGTACTAAGATTAAACATGCGTCCGTACACTAATTAGAAAATATATCGAATGTCTAAAGAAAGCAAAACCACTGCGTAGATCGGTTTTCTCCAGATACCCACCGAGACACATGGAACATCCAGCTTCTCTCCAGTCAAAGCCGGCAGCCTTAAAGATCTTATCGAGACCTTCGTCTTCTGCTTGATCCTTCACCAAACCAGAGCCGGGGACAATCATAGCGTAGACGCCGTCTACTACTTTCTTGCCTGTCAGTTTGTATTGTGGGAGGCGAACAAAACAAAGAAGTCAGAGCCAGAAGCGAGTAGCAGGGGAATCATTTAGAGACACCTTTTCCTGATGAACCTGCTGAGTGAAGGTTATAACGTATTTGGCAACCCACTTATCCACGTGTGTATTCGACGAACTATTATGTTTATAGCATACACCCCTATGTGGCGTATACGCTTATTTTGTAGATTACCATTTGAAATACATATACATAGTACAAATAACATTCGGGTGGTCGTTCATACAAACACGCACCTCTAGCTACGGATGCAGCGGCTCGCAGATCTTCAATACGAGAGTTGGTGCACGAACCGATGAACACCTTGTCCACCTTGACCTCGCACATCTTCTGATTAGCCGTGAGTCCCATATATTCTAGAGATCGTTCCATTTTGGCGCGCTTTTGGGGGTTGTCTTCCTTTGCCGGATCAGGCACATTACCCGTGATGCTCACTACGTCTTCAGGGGAAGTTCCCTAATTAGTACAAAGGATGATGGGTGAGGTTTTGGACCCCCATCTCGGCTGGTTGGGGTTGCACTACACAGATATCTACTACATCGACTACTCTTTGCATCTATCAGTACATATCATCACTACACGAAGCAGGTATGGTCTGCTCTAACGACAAGAAAGAAAATCTACACAGTTGCACTGTAAGCAATATGAATATCTGATGCATACCCAAGTTAGGGTGGGTCCAATGTCGGCTGCTTTAATCTCCACGACGGTATCGAATTTGGCACCTTCGTCGGACTGCAGGGAAGTCCAATATGCAACCGCTTTCTCCCACGCGTCACCTATATTCCATACATCGGTGTAAAAGGATCAAGAAGGTCAGGAGTGATGTATGCTGATGCAAAGCAGACAGAGGCAGATTCGACTGACCGAGATGATATAACTCATCGTATTTGTGACCACAAGTACATCCAAACATCTTGCAAGTCATTATCGACGCATCGCCCTTCTGCGAGCAGAAATGTGATCACATCCTGCCCGTTTGGCTTCCAATAACGGAAAAAATGCAAATTCACGGAAGAATTATACCGGCGCAATATCTGTATGAATATATGTATATGCGTCCCACAGTACAGCTGGAGCCATGCATACATACCTTTAGGAGCCATGGGCTTGTTCTTCAGGTAGTTGAAGGTCGTCTGATCAGGGGCGATCATACCGGCACGGGCTCCTGCCTCGATCGCCATGTTGCACATTGACATGCGACCTTCCATAGTAAGACCCTGGACTGTTCCAATATAGACCAGTGTGCAATAATGTGAAGTAAAATCGGTAAGTTTCGCCTTTGAAAGATGCTCTTTTAATAAAAGCCTTGGTACACTTCCCAACATTTATATATATATAAATCAAAACATAAGGTTACGATTTGAAATTACATTGTTGCGATACAAAGAACACGTCGTCCGGATCACGACATTCATGTTGTCGTAAAAAAGCACACTTGTGATCGATATACTTACCCGTACTACCACAGAATTCGATGACATGATTAGTGCCTCCCGCTGTACCAATCACACCAATCACATATAGCACAAGATCTTTCGCCGTCACTCCAATAGGCAAATCACCATCAATCTGCGCAAAAGTATGATCCAGAAATTTGTGTTAAGTGTTGTACATCGCGTTCAAGAAGATTAGAAGGCATGCTAAACACAAATTCGGTACAATCTCGCATGTGTTCGTATTCGATTGGATATTGGATACCATCACAGAAAGCATATCTCCATATGAAAAGAGAGCGTCTCAACAGATTGGAACCAATTCTCATGTGTGGATCGCACGCGAACAACTGTACCTGAATTCTCATATTCTTGGACTTGCGCTGCAGAAGGGTTTGAGTAGCAAGCACGTGTTCTACTTCAGACGTTCCAATACCGAAAGCCAATGAGCCCTGCAGATACAAATGTAGTGAGTCGAAATTAATGCAACGACACAGTAATCAACTCTGTTCACTGGCCTAGAGGAGATGGCCCAAAACCACCACTGCAAGCTACAATAACACGAGATAAATCAGAAAGCATCAACCAACGTAAAATGCCGTTGACCCCTAAATTCAGTCGACGTTCATCAGGGTAACATTGAATTAAATATTCGTGTGCGATCGATAACAAGACACTCTTTCGAACGTGAGGTGTGATGCTAGCTTTACATAGCAGCGATATAAAGCTTGCAATCGAGCTGTGAAGTTTATATATCTATCAGTATAAGCACCTATAAACATGCACACAACCTGGACCTAACATGCTTGAAGTTAAATAGTTGGCCTTTGTGTCAGGCTGCTTACGGACATACTAACTTACTTGCATACACTATCACCCTGGAGTTGTTCTGATGCAAACACTAGAGATATCTGTAATTTTCCACAGATACCAAGAGCAACTATATCGAATTGTTTTTTTCCAACACAAGACGGCACAACAAACAACGAAATATACCCACGCACCTAATTTCAAAGCACACTTCACACTTTATAAAAAGAAGCAATCGAATGCACAGGTCGCATAAACACATACTTACAAATGCTCCGTGCGTGGATGTGTGGCTATCTCCGCACACCATCGTTGTTCCTGGCAGAGTGAAGCCTTGCTCTGGACCAACAACATGCACGATTCCTTGTTTCCTGTTACCTAGTGCATAGTAGGTTAGGCCAAAATCTGCGACATTCTGCTCAAGAGCAGACACCTGTACGGACAGAAGGAGCACGGTGATCGAGGTGCGTGTAGTGTGAGCAGAAAGGCCGAGACCTCTGTATGCAGACTTAAATGCGAGCAGATCAAGTTGCACTGATTGTGCCGTTTTAAAATCTCTGATGCACTTGCGCAAAGCGGGAATAGGCGCCATATGACAATAGAGTGGGCCTAATAGTGTTAATGGCGTACAAAGCTTTCGAATGAGTATAGACGTGCCATGGAGTGCAGGGTGCGAATATTTATCACGTCATTATGCAGCATGAAAGCATGCTTTCGCATTTACTTGGCAAATACGCGTTTCCGCTGTCACGAACACAACATTTGCAAGCATATAAACAAACCTTCCATACCTGTACGAGAGAATCCTTTTCCTTGATGAACGTCTTCGCACTTTTGTACTGTGACCGATCGCTCGTCGGTACATTGTGATCTACGGTGGCAAGTGTACAGTCGGGCCTTCGTACCTAGTGATTGTCAAAAAGGTGCATGAAGAAAAATTCCAAGAGTCAGAGTATAGAAATCATGCATCAAAACTTATTTGTACTAGAATAGTCTACAAACTCACAGCGACATGATGTGTTATTTGTAGGCTTCCACTCAAGATATGAATATACAATCAATCTTGCATCGATATTTCAATCTTGTGTTGTTATATATTACAAGCATGCTGCAACATCGAACAGGCCCAGAAGTATAGTGCGCAGGATGCTAACAATAACCATTAAACAAGAGCAAGCCCTATTAACAAAGAAAAAAAGTATCGTTTGATGGAATTTGGTGTAGTATAGTCAGTATGTAATTTCGTTCCGTTCTTAAGCCGTACATACAAGGAACATGTCGGCCAGCCTCAGAGAAGCGATACAAATCGGCAACATTGCATGCCAACACTATACGACATGATTTTATGCAGAAAACACAAATTATCCGCCAACACATGTAGGTACGACATAAAGTTCTCGAGATACGCCTCAAACATTCAACATCGGTATTTCGGAAATTTCCCTGTGCCATTTAACTTGATGTAAACTTCATTCAGGCTTAAAGGGTATGTCTCAGAAATTCGTACCGCAGCTAGTATCAGCTAGTAAAACTCTCCCACTGCTATGTGCGAGTGTGCGAGAGGTGCTACATGTATCGTTAGCAGATATATTCGCGTGAATTATTTGCACTACAGATAATCACGACCGCACCGATAGGATATCAATACTCTTCAACTAATCAGCATAAAAACGAAACACAATCTAATAGAGTACCACAATCCAGATTAAGTGCAGCAGAAGCTCGCAATGTGATAAGTGGGTGAAAATAATAGTGTCAGTAGCGTCTATACTTTAAAACAAGTAGCTTCTGGGCAGCTACTTTCGCACAGATTTGTGACTACAAATCTTAATTAAACTATCCGCAAGTTGTACTACAAGCCAAATACTAACGAGTGATGAACTAGAATACACACTGGGCTGTATAAACACTCTGAAAATTGCCATCTGACCAGTGGAGATATGGAACTGGTATAACCTGCACTTTGTATCCCATAAAGCTAGGAACCGGCTGCATATGAACCGGCTACTATTTGCAATATGAAGTTGCATTCATGCACATTAACCATATAATAGCTGGTAAATAACAAGTATAATAGCTGGTAAAAAATAATTATAACAGCTGGTGTTTAGCAAGCGTAAAAGAAAGTAACATCCATGGTAGAAACCAACAATTTGATGGCATGGACCATTAAAGCCGAGTATATTCTAATCTTTACTCAGTTACATAGCTGCAATATTGCGTATAGCTTATGAAACTCGATACCTGGCGTCCAGCATTTTGAAGACCCTCAAAGGCTTGTGGACTGGTTACTTCGTGCACCAAGTGTCGATCGATATAAATGAGGTGTGTTTCTCCGTCCTCCTCAGTAGTGACAATATGGTCACGGAAGACCTTATCGTACATAGTTAAAGCCATATTGTTTGCTTAACAGACTACTTGTTTCGAACGATACGTGTCTGAATATGTTGTACGATGTTACGTGTTGGGCACTACCTATATGAGCGGAAATAAATAAATAATACTAAAGGTATGTATTTAGGAAAAAAGCTGGCGTGATATTTCCGGTGTGACAGATGTCAAATCGGTGTTGAATGACTCAGGACACAGGATTTTCTAAATAAAAATATTCAGCAAATATTTCAAATATGAGTCAGTCCGTCCATCGTGACATTTCACATTTGTGTCAGTACTTTTTATAGTAAATAAATACATAGCCAGGACTCAGCCCAGGACGCCCAGGAGTTCAAGACCCCTACTCTCCCAGCCCGAGCCCCAGGGTCAGGAGGTCAGGATGCCAGGACTCCAGGTTTCTGCAGTCAGCACTCAGTACATTAGTCGGCAGAAAACAGTCAGTAGCCCTGGTCAGTGGTCAGCACTCGCAAGTAGCAACAGTACTCTCCCTCATACATCTGCGTCCTGCGAGCGTCTGCCTCCACACAACAGACAGCCACACACTACTTACAGTCTACTCTACAGTCTACACTTTACAGTCTACACTCTTGACAGACTTAACTCTACAGTCTACACACGGCCACGCCAACACAAACAATTCCAAGTCAAGACCAAGTGCCACCTCAGAGGCTCAGAGGCTCAGGCTCTCAGTGTCACTTTTCTGTTTTACTGGCTCATATATAGAGGCCAGGTCAAATGGAGCCGTCTAAAGTTCTATTTGAAACACAGTTTTCTGAAATATCAAATTGTTTCTCTATTTTACTCTTTTTATATAAATAGCTTGGAGTCCCTTGTGACTTGTGTGATTGTGTCTCTCTTCTTTTTGTGTGGACCAGTGACCTCTTGCGTCTGGCGTCAGTCCACCATTTTAGGAAGGGGTACCACATTGATTTGTATGAATTAATAAAAATAGCTTGTGTGTGTGACACTGGGACTGTTTCAGAAATAGCAATGACAAATATGTACATAAAATACCTCTACAGCTGGTGGAGGGAGAATATGCAACAAGCTCAATTTGGGTTGGTCATTTGTATTGGTATCCGTGTTGGTCGGTCGTTTTTTTAAATTGAACGCCTACAAAATATTCTAGGCTGCCCAGAAATGAGAAAGTGAATAGAAACGCTTCTATAAATGCAAATACTTATTTGTATTGGTTTACTGGTTCAATACAAAATCGCGTTTGATTGGCTAATATAGTTGATCATAGTAAATAAATGTGTTTAAAACTATCAAGCCCAATAGCCCATAGCCTACTTCTATATATAAAACATGAAGCCAAAAACAAAACAAAATACTCAATTTATTTCAAGAAATAAAACATTTTGTCAGATATGTCATTTATAAATCAACTTCCAGAAGTTCAGGGTATTTGCAACTTCTAACTGGAGCATGTTTTACATATGTTTACAACGAGCGTCAGCGATTTGTTTTATTATATTTAAGTCCAGATATATACAATGGAATTGGTTGAGATTTGTTATAAAGTATCCGTTGGATTGAGCTCCAGACTCTCCTCTAGTCTCCTTGGGTCAAATTGTACCGGAGTAAAAATAGGCCTTTCTCCCTTTTCTTATCTAAAGACAAGATGGTATTTTGAGAACTCTTAGGACAACCGCTGGCATGCCTTACATTAATTACCACCGCCACTATGCCCACTTTCTCGTCCACCGCCTCTAAAATGAAGATTAATTTCCTCTAAATTTTACCATCGCTGTTATCAGTGTTATGCCTATCCCAAATTTTTATATTCGCTACGTCCAACTCTGTCGCTCACCTCCACTATATGTCCAACTCTGTCGCTCATCTCTGTCTCTTATACACCTGTATTCGATCTCAGTCCACACGATCCGCTCCTAGGGTGGATTTCTTTGAACATTTCACGCTGCGATCACCACTTCTAGGCGGATTTATCTAAACCAACTACACTGGGATCACCACTTCTGGGTGGATTTTTCTGAACCTTCCGCGCTTGGCATGTAATAGTGCTGGACCAGTATCCTTTGATTGGCACCCAACATAAAATTTATCCAATATAAGATTCGAGCTCACGACCTTTCCGGTTTTGTAGTAAAATAGGTGATGGCTGGACCGATCAACCTAGTACTAGGTTATTTGGTTTAGTCATTTGTAAAAATACGGCCTCCGCTTAGTCTAAAATATCAAGATCAAATGAGTAACACTTTGGTTTTTATTTATATTTGAAATATTTTAATACAAGTTCTTTTCCAATATTTCCAAAGTGTTCTAAATTCACTTTGATGGCTCTAATAGCCTGAGTATTTAGTATGACTCATTTACTTGGACCTATTTGAGACGATAGTATATGTAGGATATTATAAACTAAATTGTATAGTCTCTGTACTACTACTTACAGGTTTTGGTCTTCTCGTCAATCTCCAAAATACAATGTCTTTTTCTTTTTTAACTTTTCTTCAGATGGAACTTCATTTATATTAGCTAATGTATTAACTTGACTAACGTTCGTATGTCTATCTACAAATTAGACATGTGGTCATAAATACTTAATACTTCTAGTGAAAATTGTTTAATAAAGAACAGCTAGAGGTACGTCCTGTGTAATCGAGAATATAAAGGTTCTTACCAAGAGGCAGTCCCTATCATATTTACACTAGCTATCACAGCTAAATCCTAATTGACTTTAATTGTATCATAGATTTTAAGTTTTGGTCTATCAAGGTGATATTAACGCCTTGGAGTAATTAACCGCTTAGGTTAGGTCTAAGTATAATTAAATTCAAATAAATAAACGAAAGGAGTCTTTTAGTAAAGTTATGTATGCCTCGTGAAAACAGCAATACTCTGAGGGATTGTGAGGCTGAGACATCGTCTATATATAATGCTTTCAGTACTGTTTTCGCCGAAGGGATTTTATTTAATGTTTTGTAGTCGCTCTATTAGAAACTATGGTATGTTTCGTTAGGGCGAATTCGTTTAGAAAGAAAAAAAGATGAAGAAAATTCTCTTGATGTCCTTAGTTATTGTCTTAACCAATAACTTGCCACTTATCAAGAATTATCGACTTAGCCTCCACCAGACTGGCATATTTGGTTGGCTGAACGGAGGTTAAACTAGGTAATGCTTATAGTCCCTAGAAACCTATATTCGGTTGAGCCATCTCGCTACCGAAATATTAAGATATAAATAGATTTGGAAAGTTTAGAAAGAAAAAAGAAGAAGTAAATACTATTGATGTCCTTAAGTTATTTGTCTTTAACCAATAACT